GAGCTGACACGCCGCCTGCTGATTGGTCGAGCTGACACGCCGCCTGCAGCCACACCACGACTCTTTAGTGTCGGTTTGATTTCAGGAGGAAACTGATCATTTTTTGTTGTTGTCTCTGCAGAAAATGTCCCGTCTCGGCCCGTCGGAGACGCTGGACCCCTCAGCGCTCCGTCTCCTCTACGATCTGAGCGGAGACACCGAGGAGCAGCTGATCCAGGTGAGACGCTCAGTCTGACCTGAACCAGAACCAGAGTCTGATTACTCAACAGGATCTATGGGTGTTTTACCTCCTGCTTGCTGTGTTTTCATCATGTTTTGGTTCTGATACCGAGCTGGACCCGTTTTCTCTATCCCCGTTTCCCTTCTTTTCCTTCTCAGATGCCTCATCTCTATCGGGTCGAGCTCCAGAAGGTTCCTTCTCTGACTGTCATGGCCGCCATGCAGTCGGAAATGTTGAGGACTTCAAAGCGCTGCAGCAGCAGCTCCTGGAGGGGAGCGCGCTCCTCCTCAATATGGAGGCTGCTCTGTGGTCCCTGAACGCCTCACAGCAGCTGCATCAGGTGAGAGGAGGCAGAACCACCTGGATGGTTCTGTTAGACCCGTAATGTATTTTTGTATGTGTGTGTTCTGGAGGTTTGTTGTTCTGACAAGTGAAACTCCTGCTTTTTGACTCCTCAGCCTTCAGACTCGGGATGTGTCAGAAAACTGCTGTCGGACTCTTCGACCCTGAACCAGGTCCTGCAGGAGGCCGACTCTCTGCTGCGCCGCTTCTGGAGAGGAACTCTGCCCGACTGTGACGGAACCGGGCCGGTGAGAATCAGTGTTGCAGTCAGAGATTCAGTTGTACTGAGGATTAATGTGGTTTGTTGATGTTCTGCTGTGTTCTCCTGTGTTCTCCTCTGTGTTCTCCTGTGTTCTCCTCTGTGTTCTCCTGTGTGTTCACCTGTGTTCTCCTGTGTGTTCTCGTGTGTTCTCCTCTGTGTTCTCCTGTGTTCTCCTCTGTGTTCACCTGTGTGTTCACCTGTGTTCTCCTGTGTGTTCTCGTGTGTTCTCCTCTGTGTTCTCCTGTGTTCTCCTCTGTGTTCTCCTCTGTGTTCACCTGTGTTCTCCTGTGTTCTCCTCTGTGTTCTCCTGTGTGTTCACCTGTGTTCTCCTGTGTGTTCTCCTCTGTGTTCACCTGTGTTCTCCTGTGTTCTCCTGTGTTCTCCTCTGTGTTCTCCTGTGTGTTCTCCTCTGTGTTCTCCTGTGTGTTCACCTGTGTTCTCCTGTGTGTTCTCCTGTGTGTTCTCCTCTGTGTTCACCTGTGTTCTCCTGTGTGTTCTCCTGTGTGTTCTCCTGTGTGTTCTCCTCTGTGTTCACCTGTGTTCTCCTGTGTTCTCCTGCTCAGGACGAGGCTCTGCTGCAGGAGATGGTTTCTCTGCGTCTGAAGCTCTCGGAGCGCGAGGCGGCTCTGCAGGAGACCAGGGACAGACTGAGGAGCTCTGACGTGAGCAGAGACGGCATGGAGCGCCTCATCGTCAGCCAGCGTGAGTGACCTGGTCCAGAACCGTCAGAACCGAGTCCGGACCACGAAGCAGATCAGTCGGTTCTCTGGTTGAAACGTAAAAAGTGTTCAGCTCTGAACAAAACTGCCGTTCAACAGAAAGCTGTAATTTACTCTCGACCTGGATCTACAGGACCAGACCAGTCCTGGTTCTGGACCGTAACCTCCAGGGTTGATCAGAACCGGACTCTATAATTCTGTCAGATCACAGATGTTGATCCACTTTGTGTTTCTTTCCAGTGTCCAGAACCCGGGACGTCCTTATGACAGCCAGGTCCAACCTCCAGGTGAGTCCAGTTCTCACACCTGCACTGGTTTCATCGTCCCTTCGTCGGAGTTAAAACTGTCTCCTTCCTGTTCTCCTCCTCCTGCTGGGGGTTTTCAGGAGAACCAGCTCAGGATCTCCTCCCTCCACCGAGCTGCTCTCTCTCTTCCTCCCCTCTCACCCTCCTCCTCCTCCCCCACCTGGCGTGTTAAAGGTAGAGTCCTCAGGCGTCGCTGCTTGGCGTTCCCTAACCTCCACTAACTCCTTGTTGTGTTTCCGTTTTAATCATCTACAAACAGGAAGTGCTTCAGAAGCATCTAAACCTTCTGGTGTCCACCTCACTGTTCTGAGCTTAAACCCATATGAGCTCACCTGAGGACACCTGGAGGTCTGCAGGTGGTCTCTTCAGGGTTTCTGTAGACCTTCACAGCTCTGCTTTTTGTTCCTCTTCCAGGTGAAAGCTCAGGAGGCTTCAGAGGGCTCACCTCCTCTCCTGGTTGGAGTGTCCTGACACCGTCCTCCTCCTCAGCAGCGCCCCCTGCAGGCGCTCAGCAGACCCTGCCTGTCCTGAAAACACTAAAACCACCGCCTCGCTTCTGAAGGTGGTTCCGTCTCCTGGTTCGGGTCTGATGTTTCAGACTCTGCAGCCTCCTCCAGCTGGAGCTTCAGGTTCAGACCATCCCCTGACGCCGGCAGAACCAGAACTTTCCGCGCTTCGTGTCTGCTCCTGAGCAGACGTAGGGTTTGGACGGATCTCCGTGTTTTTCTGTTCTTCACGCAAACGATGACGGAACTCGTCAAACTCTTCTAGATTTGTTCTCCTGGTCCTGCTGAAGCTTTAGGAGCTCCTGGAAGCAGCACATGTCTTGCTGTCTTGGACGCTGGTCCTTCAGCTCAGAGCGCCTGTTCACGATGACCTTCGGCTACTACCACACCGAACTTTAGCTCTGTGAATCTCAACGAGACCGAGCTAAGGCGGCCATCTTGTTGACTAAAAGCCAGTCAGTTGTTGATGTTCATCCAGTGACTACTTCATTAGATATTTTGCTAACAGACAGACAAATGAGCCCAGACTGACAGTTGATGGTAGTAGCTGAGAGTCCTCCCCAACACGCACTCTGAGCTCCAGCAGACTGAGAGAGGTCTAAACTGGCACAGAAGACAGATTTTGAAACTTTAAAACCTTTTTCATCATCAAATAATTTTTTTGTTTTGGGGTCAAGCTGCAGATCTTTAAACGTTTCCTCCTGCCGACAGGTTCCTTCAGGGGTTCTGACCCGCATGAGGTCCGAGGGTTGTTCTTGAACACACTAAAAACTGCTGGGTTATTTTCAGAACTCGGGTCGGTTTGAGCAGAAGTTGGATCAGATCGACCCGGCTGTCGGGTCAGAGCTGAACCGTGTCCAACATTTTCAGCACAGCTGGGACCCGACTGGACCTCTGCTTTCCAAAGTAAAGGTCGGAGGTTGAAAACTTTAGTTTGCTCTGAAGCGTCGGCTCCGATTCCTGCAGGACGATGCTAACAGCTGTTAGTGTCAGCTGGGTAGCACAGCTCCGCCTGTAATCATACAATAATCTTTTATTATTTTTCATTTGGCTTTAGCTAAAAGTCAAAGTGCAGTCGACCCGGTTCAGATGTCGGACCTCAGTCGAACCGAACTAATTAGTTGTAAAAACTCCCACAATTTCACAAAACTCGCTGAGTTCTTATGTCTTGATCAGATTTTGTTCAGATCACGTGTCCAAATCCTCCGGATCAAATCAGTCTCCACGTTTCTCTGGGTGTCTGAAACGGAGCGAGGACGGTTCTGAAGCAGGACTGTTCTGAAGCAGGACGGTTCTGATGCAGGACGGTTCTGAAGCAGGACGGTTCTGACGCAGGACGGTTCTGACGCAGGACGGTTCTGACGCAGGACGGTTCTGAAGCAGGACGGTTCTGACTGCGGTCCCAGAGTCCTGACGAGGAGGCGAGGTCTGGAGAAAAGGTGTTAAAGCCCTAAGATGGCACCCGAACATCCCCCGACCTCCAGATGACCCTGACCTCCAGATGACCCTGACCTCCAGATGACCCTGACCTCCAGATGACCCTGACCTCCAGATGACTCTGACCTCCAGATGACCCTGACCTCCAGAAGGTCCAACTACTGGATCTGCTTCAGAAAGAGAAGTTCTGCTGCGGGACCCGGGCTGCCGGGTCAGACTGGAGGTCCCGGTCCTGTTAAACCCAGAAGTCTTCAGTTTCCTCGTGTCGTTTTTCTGCCTCCTTCAATCTGAAACTTTGGGTTTCTGTGCAATAAAAAACTTTCCCGTTGCTGTTCTGGTTCTGGTTCTGGTTCTGGTCCAAGCCTAATGGACAACGTGCTGACCCAGGTATTTATTTCAGTTTGCAGTAAAGTAATATTTACTTTGTTTTTGTGTTTTGAACGAGCTGAACCAAAGTAAAAAAGTGTTTTTTGTTAATAAACGGAGCTGTGGATGATTTCCTGCATGTTGAAACGGTTCTGTGTGGAGTCAGAACCAGAACCTTTGCGTGAACGGTTCTGTTGCTGTGGACAGAACACTGTTCCTGGACCTGCTGTATTTTTCTGCATGTTTTCTTTATTTACGTGTTAAATTAAAAAACTGGATTGTTCTTTCACGAATCACTTTATTTTTTAATTTTGTGACGTTGAAACTGAATAAAATGTGCTGAAAAACCGACCCAGTCCAGGAAGTGGACCTCAGAAGTTCTGATGATGATGAGACCAGCAGATGAAGAGTTTCAGGTGTTTGGTCTCATGGTGTCCAACAGTTCAGGTCAAAGACCGGTTCAAGAACCAAGACCTGGACCAGACGAGCTGCTGCTTGGTTTTTATTTTTTGTTTCTACAGCCGGCGTTTATTCACATTAAAGACAGAACCAGAACCAGAACCTGACCGTCACACCTTCATTTATATTTCCAGTGTCCCCGATGGACAGAGCGAGACACAGAGGGGTGTCGTCGGTCCGGTGACAGAACTCTGAAAACCAGCAGAAGTGATCAGCTCCGACAGGAGGATGAAAACAACTGGTCCAGAGCAGCCGCAGTAACAACAAACTCATCTGCTGAATATTTTTCTGTTTTATTATAATTTATTCATCATATTCAGACTCTTCAGCCACAGAGGAAGAAATAAAGTTTTTAAAATAAACTTCAGAAAGATCGCGTCTCTTGCATCTTTAACCAAATCCAACTCTTCGAAGTCTTTTTGAACTTGTTCAAACTGAGCACAGCATCCGTGTCACCTGTTTCGCTGATGATATCCAGGTTTATCTGCCCGTAGACCGGACCGGGTCACTGCACTGGAACCACTCCCGAACTGTCAAAAACTGCTCGAAACTAAACTTTCTGAAGAACCGACCGTTTCCAAAACTGCTCATTATAAAAAACTGATGTACAAACAGCTCTACAAGTTCTGTCCCCAGGACCTCCAGGACCTACACAACAGCGTCGGTACTGATCTACTGAAGGTGTCAATGGTTATAGTGTCACACGTTTGTATCCAGGTGAGGAATATAATCTGTCAAACGGCCATACAATCAGGACATCAGCAACGTCTCTGTGTACAGCTGTCACGGTTGTTGAGGACTGAACCCAGGGATGCAGACTGACATGAAGAGCTTAAAGGAACATACGGCTGACGTGGACGCAACTAACTTACAGTATGAGAACAACCGAGGGGAACACGAGAACCAGGCAAGACATAAAGCTCAAGGAGTGAGAAGTGAGATGGAAAAGGGCTGATGAGCAGAGCAGAGACACCTGGGCCTAATGACAACGGGGAACAGGTGAGAGTGGGCGGAGCAGTGTGGAGACGTGGGCCTAATGACAACAGGGAACAGGTGAGAGTGGGCGGAGCAGAGTGGAGATACCTGGGTCTAATGACAACAGGGAACAGGTGAGAGTGGGCGGAGCAGTGTGGAGACAGGTGGGCCTAATGACAAGAGGGAACAGGTGAGAATGGGCGGAGCAGAATGGAGACACGTGGGCCTAATGACAACAAGGAACAGGTGAGAATAGGCGGAGCAGAATGGAGATACCTGGGCCTAATGACAACAAGGAACAGGTGAAAGTGGGCGGAGCAGAGTGGAGATACCTGGGCCTAGTGACAACAGGGAACAGGTGAGAGTGGGCGGAGCAGAGTGGAGACACGTGGGCCTAATGACAACAGGGAACAGGTGAGAATTCATTCAAGCTTTATTGAAACGGAGTTAGGGGCAATGAAGTGGTGACACAGGGAGGTACTACTGAGCCCAAAGACAGAAACTGAACAAACATGACCGTCACTCCCACATGACTCCATATGATGATGTTTTCATTTTTCTACAACCCTTAGGAGGACTTGAGAAATATTATGGTGACTAAAGATCACAACACACCACGCAGCTGAAATGAAAACAGAACCAGTACTTTGTCTTACAGTAACTTAGTTACACCTGGGGGCGGAGGGATATCTACTCTGAACAGGTGCGGCCCAACTGCACTGAGTCAATCAGCTTCTGCATTTTCAGAACAAATCCTGGTTTGAAGCAAACAAGTTCAGTTCTTCTAGATCTGTCACTCCACCTGTAACAAAAGGACTGATCCAGAACTCTGACTGCAGTTGATCCAATCAGAGGACCATCAGAACTCTGTAATGTTCCTCGTGGTCCTCGTTGTTCAGGGAACCCGTGTTTGGGTCAATAGAAGCTCTGCTGTTGTCAGAATCATTCAGTCGTGGTCCATATAGAAAAAAGTATAATGTTTGTTTGATCCTTCTGTTGTTGAAGTTCTACATCATGATGTTCGTCACAACCAGGACTTTCAGAGTCACATTCCCCACAAAACATCCAGTGGACCAGCTGGAAGAACACGAGTCCCACGTAGAAAGCTGTGGACAAACTGTTGTTAGTCATGTGCTTGAAGGTTATGAACAAGTTTAGGGTCGAAACCATAAAGACACAGCGACTAAAAGATGCCTGGAACTGGTTCTTCAGGTGATCAGGACCTGGAGTGAAGAAAAGCCACCAGTCAGGGTGGACACATCCATCTGGACCTGTGAGTTCTCTGCTTTGATTGGATGAGCTGCTCTCAGCCTCATGCAGGTTGTTTAACTTGAAGCTCTGAACATCAGGACCTGACCTGAGGACCTGGCAGAAGCTTCTCTCAACATTTTCAGTTTGTCAGCAGGTGGAGGCAGAGTCCACCCCAGGGCCGGCCCTGGTCCAACCAGTCTGCTGCTCCCAGTCTCCCACCCACAGAAAACAAACAGCGCAGACAGGGTTGGAAACACGAACATTACAATTTATTATAGATTAAAATATATATGTTTGGTTTTGTACTGGATGGATCTGCACAGATTTCCTCACATAAAGAATTCAGGATGTTTGTAAAGAAGAAACTGCAGGAAGGAAGAAGATTAAATCCACTTTCAAAATAAAATGCTACTTTAGCTGCCTTGTACAGTAAAGACCCATTGTTTTCTTGTTAATAAAAAATGTCTGACATGTAAACAACAAATAACCAACACTAAACTGACTCAACATTAAAGTAGAAGGATTTCTTGAAAAAAAAAAAAAAAAAAAAAAAAAAAAAAAAAAAAAAATATATATATATATATATATATATATATATATATATAATATGTAATAATTCAGTTATTCTTCATATTGGTGTCATTTTCACAGCCCACACAGAACTAAACCACGACATTCTAATAAAACTACTAAGCATTATTATAGTTTTTAGAAACTGAGCAAAAACTATTATTTTTTCCTTCTTTACAAGAATCTTGTCTTTTATTTTGACTTAGATGGTAAAAAATTTCAATAAATGTTAAAAATCATTAGATATTTTTAGTTTTATAAAATCACCCCTACTGTCCAGAAAGACGGCTTCCATCAAACTTAAAGTGGTCCGTGGGCCACCAGTTGAGAATCCCAGTTGTAGCAGGTGTTGTGGCTCCGGACACGTTTAGTGAACAACGGGGCAGAAGTGGCTCTTTTGGTCGTAAAGGTCGCAGACCCCTGAGCAGGAAGAACTAGATAAATAGTATAAATATGTAACCCTCTTTGTTGGTTTCAGGTCCAGTAGGCTGACGTCACGACAGACACACTCAGGTTCACTTTATTTATTCTAGCGAGAGAGAATCAAGTCGGTGGTTAACATCAGTCCAGCAGCTTCTGCTCCACAGTTATCACTCAGTCAACCTTTATTTCTACAGGTTAATCCCATTGAGCCTCGGGGACTCGTTTACAAGAGAGACCTGAATTTTTAACAAACAGTGATGACAACAGTGGACAACAACAACAACAATAGACAATCATAAAAGACACGCACATTTTTTTAACAAGTTAAAATAAAATGGCAACTAAAAGAACAATCAAAAGGAAAAGTAGTGAAAGAACAGCTGGATTGTAAGGCAACAGGCAACAGGCAACAAGCAACAGGCAACAGGCAACAGGGGACGAGCTGTCAGTTACTGGTTGCTATGGTAACCACCAGTTGGTGGTCAAGAGCAACACAACATAACTTATATATCAATAAATGTCAGGAGAAATAACTTTTTGCCTAAACAAAGTGATTTTGAAGAATAAATAAACCAATTTTGACAAACTTGACATTTAATAATGTTAAAACAAAACGCTGTTACAAATAGATATAAAAATTAGCACAGTTGTAGTTTACCTGAATTTAAATGTTTTGTAGTTGTTTTTTTTTAATGAATATATTTATGTTATTTTTCTATTTAAAAAAAGAAAAATCAACAAATCCGTTATTTAGTTTGGCTCTTATTTTGATAGTCCCAAAGCGGACGTTGCATCCTTCCTGCCGCCATCTTGACGCCGCTCCGTCTCAGGAAACGGAGCAAACGGTTCTGCGTCTTACCGCTGCCGTTCACCCGACAGCTCAACCCCGGTGTCCCCGCGCAGAGCCCGGCGTTTACCCGACGATGGGACACTCTCCCGGGAGGACGGTCGCAGCCTGAACCAGAACCGGCCGGATTAAACGCTCCGAACTGTCCGGAACCGAGTCCGTTCAGTCGAAATGGGAGAATCTGGGTGTCGCGGTCATTTTGAGCAGGTTTAAGCCGCTCAGCGAGCTAGCTAGCTAACTTGTTAAGAAATAACCAAGTGGGTTCGGGTGAATGAACTGTTGCCAGGCGGAACCGAACTGGATCCTGTGGATGGATTATTTTACCACGTAAACCTGGAACTGCACGTGTGGACGCTCCACATTCAGTCCCG